GGTGGGCTCCAGGGACAAACTCCCTGCAAGAAGAGCAAGAAATGGGGTTGGGGGCAGCTCTCACCTCCTTGTCTGGGGGTTGCAGAGACGCGAGGTGAGAGCAGGCTCTTGCAGTCAGGACCAGCAGAGGGGAGGGATGTTCCCTGCTTCTCACCATGCAGGAAATAAAAGGGTACCCAGAGAGGTGGGCAGAACATTTAAATTGTGCAGAAGGAAGTACTTTTGATGCAGCAAGGAATTAGATTGTGGTATTTCACTGCCACAGGATATTGTGGAGGCTAAAGGGATAAAGTAATTCAAAAAAATGGGCAGGAGTGATGTGATGATGAGTGATGGATGTGATCTTCACCCCAGTGACCCCCCAAAACAGCTGACAGCCAGAGCCAGGAGGAGATGGGCAAATCTCTCCCATGTTCCCTCTCTCCTGGGCTTCCTCCCACTCTGCTGCTGCTGGCCCAGCCACGGGCTGGCATGAACATGGTGATGGGAATGGTCTGCACGGAGCAGAGCTGGGTGTGCAAGTGCTGGTGCTGTAAACAGCCCTCACCTGAGGCTCCTGGCAGGATTCTAAATGAAGACTAATGGGGCAGGCAATGAATTGGGCAGGCAGATGTTTAAGTGGCTGGGTGGAACGTGCCTGCAGCAAAGGTCGGGCATCACAGCAGCTGTGGCTTCCCAAAGTCCTCATGGGTCTCTTGGTCCTGCAGTTGGTAGGATCTGGAGCCCTGTGGGGTAAAGCTGGTGTGTTGTCCTCTGCTCTGCTGTTACAGGAGAGGCTCTGGGTTTGAACCGGCCTGTCATGGTGCCCTATAAACTCATCAGGGACAGTCCTGACGCCATGGAGGTTACCGGGCTGCCGGATGATATCCCTTTCAGAAACCCCAATACCTACGACATCCATCGTCTGGAGAAGATCCTGAAGGCACGGGAGAGCATCAGGATGGTGATTATAAACCAGCTCCAGTAAGTTCCCCCAGCTCTGCAACCGGGGAAGTTCTGTTCATTAGGTGTTGCCCTTGCTTGTCCAGCCGTGAGTGGGGTAAGTCACCGTGGGGCCCCACGCCATCGCCCACCCGCAGAGCACCCGCTCAGTCCCAGCATCTGATGCCCGGTGCTGCAAGGAGGTGCTCAGCCATGGGTGGGCACAGCAAAGCCTCAGCAGGGACAGTTTATCCCATCTGGTGGTGGGTGAGAAGCTCAACATGAGCTGGCAACGTGCGCTGGCAGCACAGAGGCCAATAACCGTGTCCTGGGCTGCACCCAGAGCAGCGTGGGCAGCAGGTGGAGGGAGGGGATTCTGCCCCTCTGCTCTGCTCTCCTCAGACCCCACCTGCAGTGCTGCCTCCAGTGCTGGGGCCACCAACACAAGACAGACATGG